TGAAAAACGGACGATGGAAGCCTGTTCGAGTTCATCACGGAAAAGCTCGCAGCGACAGAGAACGGCAGCAACAATGAAGCTTAAGTGGTTGGTGGCTTAATTAAAGTGCCGTAGAAATATTGCCATCAAACAAAGGACCGAGCTCGCTCCAGTGCATCTAAGACCGAAAAAGGCCTCCAAAAGCCGAGAAGGAATTGAGTGCATATTTTTTGTGATAGTTAGATTCCTTGAGAAAACTTTGAAGTTAATGGAGGGTGCTCAAACGTTTATTAAGATGTTATCAAGAGAAGATGATTAGGCGGATATTCCTACACTTCCACAATCAGCAATAATTAACTGACGTTGATTACTATTACCTAATTAACTCATTTAATGTTGACTGAGAAACGTCTGCAGTAAAATCATCCACAAATCAATCATCTTACCCTTCTCTCGTATTGTAAACACAGTTAAGAGATAAAGTTTGGGCATTTATGGCCAAAAAATGATACTCGATACGAGGGCAAGACTTCAATTGTACTCACAAGACCACCAAACCCCGCGTAGGAGCTACATGAGCAGTATATCTTACGCCGAAACATGCAGTTTATTGTGATGACGCAGTTTCAGTCAAGAGCAGTTTATTTTACGCCGAAAGACCCTGCTGGCATATACCCTGCTCGCTTTAAAGACTTCATGTGCGCATTAAAGACTTACGCTGTGTACGAGTGAGTCTCAATGTGTGCCGCTCAATGGCAGCTACACAGGAGGGCTCTAACACAAAGACTGTAACCGCAAACGGTGAGATGCCGTCTTTACTGTCCAAATCAAGCCCCTGTCTTTATTAAGCCCCTGTCTTTATTGAACCCAAAGCTCAATAATGCAGCGCCCGTTAGCTGATGTAAAGCAAAACTCGACGTGCTCTATAAACCAGCCATTGTTCGTAATTGGGGCTAAAGAGAGGAACTTTTTTATGGTGACAGTCGTCGAAAGGGCGTTTGGGACGAGCCTGTAAACAGAGACGAGCTTAATAGCTACCAGTGAATTATTTACATGCAAGCTGCTGGGTCTAGCAGCTTCTAGGGTGACTGAAGTAAAAATATTAACCGCAATTCTCATCCTTTTTCTGAGACATCAATCATCTGTTGGCTTGTAAATTGATTAGCAAGAATATGAAATATGCGTAGACACAAATATTCCGCATTGTGTTTATGTGATTACCATACTTTTCTAATGCTTATTCCTGTTTCGAGACCATAGCAAGCTATGGCACGAGTATTAAAATAACAGTAATTATATATCCGAAATAGATAATACAATCAGGAACTCTTGATATGAGCTGGTCTCCGATCAAACTCATAAATCAAGCGATGATTCGAAACATATCGTATAGATTTTTACTGTTGTTGTTGTGCATGTTACCGCATATTTATAACGTGGTGTAAATGTTGCTGCTGCTACTTGTAATGCAACTGTTATGATGCTGTCGCTCTTATTGCGGTTGTGTCTAATTAATAATTATTCTAATTATTGCTTTTCGGACGTTTTTACTTGTACTAAAAGTCGTTGTCATATAGGGATATTTTGATGCAATTGATTATGCAGTAGTTGTGACGTAAGACCTGCCAGTCATATTAAGTTTGGAGAATTATGGCGGGCGCTATTAACCATCATGTAGGAGCAAGCGCGCACTCAAAACAATAAATGTGTCATATTATCCAAGTAGTGACGCACTTGTATGATGTATGATGTAAGTAGCACTGAACGTTTTTTTGTCGGGCCAAACAGGGCCGGGTTGACCCACACAGGTGTATCACTATATGGACATAGTCCCACTTATTCCTCCGAGTGCAGTGCAACAGGTACGTACGTCTTATAGGGCAGGTTAGCTGGGAATGGTCCTATAGAATATCTCATTCTATGTATGACATGAAAGTAATATTAACTCTAATAATGACATGAATGTAATATCAATATCTGCGGCAGGTTAGCTGGGAATGATCCTAATAATCATTCTATATGGGCATAGTCTCACTTATTCCTTCGAGTGCAGTGCAACAGGTACGTACGTCTTATAGGGCAGGTTAGCTGGGAATGCTGGAATGCCAGGAGCTGTGCGGCCGTCAACAAGGAATGCTATCAGGAATGGGCGTGGGAAAGTGGAACAGATGGAGTGGCGCTCTTGGCAAGTGGATACATGAGGGAACAATGTCGAGTGAACGAAAATTTACAATATGCATGATAGGAATAATAATTTTATAATAAGCGATACAATTATTATAATAAATTAAAACAGTAGTGAATTAGATCCCGCATATTTATTCATACCAATGAGGCGCGACGCAAGACAAATGGTAGGTCTTATTAGAAACAAACTATTAGACATGAAATGAAGAACAAAGCATCAAGTTGGAAATTCTATGTCAATGACGGTAAGAAACACATATTGAAAGTTCGCGAAATACACAGTTTTTACGAGGAAATTGTTGGGGACTAATCAATAAATAAACATTCTCTGAACCCGAACACTTGGCCAATGATCGCAAATAAAGGATGAATGAAAACTGACGAACAAAGAACTATAATAATAAATGAACGATAAATACAAGAAAACAAATTACAAAACTATAAACCATGCGTCTTTCTAGCCCTTGCCTATTAATTCCTAATCATGTCTTAGCTTCGGAGCGGAGCTGAAAAAAAACAAATAAATACAAATTAAGGACTCGTATTAACGCAACACTAACAAATGAATATAACACACAATGATAAACTAATATAAATAATAATATTCAATATTTACAGAAGGCTACCACTATATTAACACTGAAGATGAACACGATAAACAATCCTTGTAATTACCTCTGTGGTGGATCACATAGCAATGACAAATCAGTAAACATTTATTTGCGAAGTCATCGGTGGTGAATCAAAACGGAAATGACAAATTTAACGAACCCTATTGTAATCACTAACAAAATTACTACAATTACATAATATAATATGATATAATATAATATAATATAAAACATTTAATAGGCCTAGACAGCAGCTCCATTCACGCAATAGCCTTCCATTCAACATGAATGCGGTGCGTGCCCCATACATCAGCGTCTCTTCACTAGAGGAGCGGAGTGTAACTATACATAAGTGATGGTGAATGATGTTATTTGTTGATGAGTGATGTTGAGTGATGTTATTTGTTGCAGAGTGGTGCTTAGTGATGTTATTTGTTGCAGAGTGATGTTGTGTGATGTTATTTGTTGCAAAGTGATGATGAGCAATGTCATTTGTTGCAGAGTGATGTTATTTGTTGCAGAGTGATATCATTTGTTGCAGAGTGATGTTATTTGTTGCAGAGTGATGATGAGTGATGTTATTTGATGCAGAGTGGTGCTGAGTTATGTTATTTGTTGCAGAGTGATGATGTGTGATGTTATTTGTTGCAAAGTGATGATGTGTGATGTTATTTGTTGCAGAATGATGATGTGTGATGTTATTTGTTGCAGAGTGATGCTGTGTGATGTTATTTGTTGCAAAGTGATGACGTGTGATGTTATTTGTTGCAGAGTGATGATTAGCGATGTCATTTGTTGCAGAGTGATAATGAGAGATGTCTTTTGTTGCAGAGTGATGATGTGTGATGTTATTTGTTGCAGAGTGGTTCTGAGCGATGTTATTTGTTGCAGAGTGATGATGTGCGATGTTATTTGTTGCAGAGTGATGATGTGCGATGTTATTTGTTGCAGAGTGATGATGTGTGATGTTATTTGTTGCAGAGTGATGATTAGCGATGTCATTTGTTGCAGAGTGATAATGAGAGATGTCTTTTGTTGCAGAGTGATGTATTTGTTGCAAAGTGATGATGAGTGATGTTATTTGTTGTAGAGTGTTACTGACTATTGACTACCAATGTTAGACAAGTTAAATCTTGTCAATTAACTCGTGTCAAAGCCTTAAGTCTCCCATGAGCCTAAAAACGTTAGGACATCTCAGTGACGTTGCAGATTGTACAAGACAGCACAACATCGTACTTACGTTGCAGATTGTACAACAGTACAATACAGCACAACATCGTACCTACGTTGCAGATTGCACAAGACAGCACAACATCATACCTACGTTGCAGATTGCACAAGACATCACAACATCATACCTACGTTGCAGATTGCACAAGACAGCACAACATCATACCTACGTTGCAGATTGCACAAGACAGCACAACATCTTACCAACGTTGCAGATTGCACAAGACATGCAGTCAATGGCAAATAGTCTGGACGAGTAATATGGCATGCTTCTTTTTCAATATCGCGAATTTCGAAGCGCCCTTTTTCTTCCTCTCGAAGGTCTCTACATTTACGGCAAAAAATCTAAAAAAGTTCCGCAATTCTATCTTTTATTGGCGAATCTTAAGAAGACTTGCGTCCGTTGACAGCCAGTCGACGTGCGGCTTTATGTTGACACAGGAATTCTGGCACCTGCTGATGCCCTGAAAAGATCGTCCGTCAAATGGACGAGTTTGCAACTTGATCTCTGACAGATCTTTGTCCCATAATCTGTCTGGCGGAGTTATATGGGCGGCTCAAGCGATCCAGTGTCAACTGACATTTTCTATTTACTGTCAGCTTCTCTGCAGTTAAAACAGTTTTGAAACTTACATGAGTATTGTATTTGACTACGGTGAGTATTATTAAGTACGTGTTGTTAACAATAACATGAGTACTATTAGCTACGCTCAAGCAACAAAAAGCCCCCATTTACCAAATTTACCAAGTAAGACTCAGCCTGTCTTTGTCGAAATCTTTGGAGAAATGCTGTAAAATTCTGCTAAATTATTTAAGGATTCAACAGTGAACCCGAACTGGACCACAATAGGTTAATCACCGCGTTGTCTATGTTTAATATAACTTTAAGCAATCTAAATAGGTCTAATATCTTTACATTGATATAAAATAGTAAACAATATCCTATAAAATGAACAAAATCCTCACTGACGGTTGAACTCTCTTGCCCACCAGGTTCCCCGGGATCGGGGATGTGTCTCAGCCCCAACTCCCACATTGAAGTGGTGCGCTCCCGCTCCCCCTCACCCACTCCACGCTCCCCATCACCCCCAGCATCCCCAGGCTTGCAGCCCCAATCAAGAGACGACTGCGCCTCCCCCAGCGACGCAACCAATAACCAAGGTGAGCCTAACTACAACAAGTGAGCCCCACCACACCCACATAATTAAGGTTCTTCTCTAAGCCCCAGTGAGCCCCACCAGTCACCACACCCCACTAGTCGCGTTTATATCAGGCACAAACCTTGACGTTAGTGTCAGTGTACCAGCACGACAATAGCGTCACAACGTCACCATCAACTCTAACATAACACACTATCTGATATGCACTCACGTCAGATATGTTTCTTGCTAACTCAGACATGTTACTTAATCCGCGTTTGGTCAGAATTTAGCGACGTGCCAACCCTATTATGAACAAAATATTTTGGTTGTGGCAAAACGAATGTGCGCATAAGCGTGTTTTCAGGTCGAGACTGGGGCAAGGCACAAACCACACAACGTAACGTGCTTGCAAAAACATGTATAAACGCTTACTCGATGGACAACACGCTTCCGCGTATAAAAACGCTCGCATACACCCAAAACACGCTCATTTGTCAAATACACGTCAAATGAGTCACACGTCAAATAACACGCATCCCCTACATCTGACGTGCGCAGGCGGCGACGAAGGCGACGATGAGCGCAAGACGCAAGAGGCGCAAGAAAAAGACGCGCACGGTGTTCTCACGCTCGCAGGTCTTCCAGCTCGAGAGCACCTTTGATATGAAGCGCTACCTCTCCTCTTCTGAACGTGCTGGCCTTGCCGCCTCCCTACACCTCACAGAGACCCAGGTGAGCTATTGCAACATTCGCTACACCTCACAGAGACCCAGGTGGGCTATTGCAACACTGGCTACACCTCACAGAGACCCAGGTGGGCTATTGCAACACTGGCTACAAATCACAGAGACCCAGGTAAGCAATTGCAACATTCGCTACACCTCACCGAGACCCAGGTGGGCTATAGCAACATTCGCTACACCTCACAGAGACCCAGGTAAGCAATTGCAACATTCGCTACACCTCGCCGAGACCCAGGTGAGCTATTGCAACATTGGCTGCACGATTAATTTCACTGAGATTTAGCTGTACTGTTTAACAACGAATGTGCGTCTATTGACTGGTACTATTTAAGAAAGGAATACGCGTCCATTTACAGGCTCGAATAACAACTCTGTATGAAGAAATCAAATACTAACGTCCGTAGACTTGGAGTTGAATTTTAATTGAATAGGCGAAGGGATGAATGCACAAGCAGACGAACCCAAATGTATGTGTGCAGTTGAAGCTTAGGTTTCACCAAAATTTTAAAATTTCACTCTTCCAAAAAAAGTCAATGAATTAAGTAAAAAGTATAACCCACTACGGGCATGTGAAATTACACCAGCAAAATTACAAAAGTTTCAAACTGAAGAGCAAGAAATTAAGTAACAATGAATTAAGTAAAACAGTATAACTCATAATGGGCATGTGAAATTGCACTAGCAAAATTACAAAAGTTTGGATCTTAGGACCAAGAAATTAAGTAAAAGACTGTAATTGTCCACATGCAGGTGAAGATCTGGTTCCAGAACCGTCGCAACAAATGGAAGCGGCAGTTGGCCGCGGAGCTGGAGGCGGCTAACATGGCCCACGCTGCTCAGCGGCTGGTGCGCGTACCAATCCTCTACCATGAGGGATCACAACACCAACCCACCAGCGAACAATCATCCATCAGCGTTAATTCGTCCTTACAACCGCCCCCACCTCCGCCATCTTTATCGCACTATCCCCTCTATTATCCCTCCGTCACATCGTCCAGCTACCCCGCCAGTAGCGTTCAGACCCCGACTCCAGTCAGACCTACACTCGCTTCGTTAGTTTAGATGTAGTTCCATTATTTTTGTTATAAGAATAGATTTGTTATTTATCAGCGTGTGTCAACCTCCATAAATATTGAGATTTTGTACACAGTACTCTTCTTTTCAGGTTTGTAAATAAATTAGGTAGCTACTGTTCATTCAGCGTTGACTTAAGTGAAGCAAAGGTATTCTTCAACGAAAAGTTTGTCACTCACAAATGAAGAAGATAAATCCGAAAAATTTAAATAAAGAAGAGCAATTATTCTCTGGCATTGATTCAAATGATGTATTAGAATTAACGAATAATTTAATGAAGGTATGATTTCCCATTCCTGATGCCAAACGTCGTTTCTGTCATGTGACAGAAACGCATTTTCATTTTCTTTCAAAGTTATGGCCGTTTAATTACGAGCCGACAACTGAAAACGATGTTACTGGACGATGGATGACGCTTCACATGCAAAAACACCACACGCCCAAGAACCTGTTGTTGGGCTGAATTTATTATTTCATGCACGTTTCGTTTAAGACCAGAGAATATTTCTTACAAAAATTTTTATATTATTTTTCTCTAGTAGACGAATTTAACTTTTGGTAGAATTTACCTACCTACATTTACCTTCATCGTTTCTCAGCCTACATACTTTTAATGTGTATGAGGTATAGAGAACTCGAACATTAGCCTTCCCACCAACTTAACAGCAAGCTTGACCTTTTTTATACCAAATCTGACAATTGCAAACAAGGAATGGTAGATTGCACTCATTATAGAACTCGAGACTATCGTGTGAATTTATCTCCAGTTGGTTCAAGATCGCGTCACTATTATAGCCGATTGTATTATCAAGTGTAATCTAAATTCAGGGAGTAAAACAAATTAAAACTTATTTGCAATATTTAATACTCTTCGGCGAATCAAAAATCAGTAAATAATTATTGCTTTATTACGTATATATAATCATCACATGATATACGATCACATTACCATGTTTTACGAAGACATATGGGAAGGAATGCCAACAGCTTTGATTGTACGGAATACGTATAAATTCCAAACCACCGACAAGTTTGCCAAGATTGAAGCGCTGCTCAAGCGCCAGCGTCTCATCCACGTACAAGATCGAGGAGATCGTGTATGGCAAGTTAGGTACGAGGAATACAAGATGTAAATATGAGTAAACCAAAGACTGAAGTGTTACAGATATTCTTTTGTGCGTCAAATGCGTGTAAATAGTGTTGAATATTTCATCGAATAGACAGCTTGTTTGAATTGGACGTCTTTCCACAAAAAATGTAGATAATACCTCTGATAAAAGGACAACCAATTACAAACCAATGATGTGTTATTGATTAGGAATTCCTTTGTAAAAACGTATGTATTTATAAAATGAACTTCTATTATTACATCACAAGCTGTAATTGGTATGATGTGAACTGAACAATAGCAGTGCAGCAATGCCACATAAGACAAGGACTATATAAGATCCTCTTGATAATCTTATTCAGTTTTAAATAAAATTTAAATTACTTAATAAAAATAGAGGAGATTTCACGTTATGAACTTGGCCCCTGCATTATTTGAGTTCACTTGCAATAAATGAGTCAAGATGAAAGAAAAAGTCTTCTTTACAGAAACTACAGAATAAAGAGTTAAGCGAGACTGGAAAAATTTAAAACACTGCTGAATTAATATTGCTGAATCCGATTATTTGTATTCAATTGCCTACACCAAAAATCACCTGAGTATTTATATAGCAAATGTGAAGTAAATTCATCAGATTTTCATTAGAAAAAGTTTATGAGACCAGCTTCATCTAGTTATTTACATGTTTTCATATCTTATGTGTAAATTTGGTCGTTCTGTTGATGATACTACTAGTAGGCACCCTAAAAACTTTTAACATACTTTATACTTTTTGACTTATGATGTGGCTGGCCTCTGAAACGTTTTCGGTAAACAAAATTTAAATTTACTAGGCATAACGTGTATGAGTGGATCAAACATTTGTGTGATAATTGAACGAGTGTGTTTCGACAGTGTGTAGCTGAGTGTGTGTGAATGGAATGTGCGTGCGCTGGTTACATTCATGTGTGTGTGTGTGTGTATGTGTGTGGATTGAATGTCATGTAGGTTCACCTTGTGTGCACGCTGAAGATATGTACGTTTATCATCTGGGAGCATAATTTGCACATGGGTTGATGTGGGGGATGTAACAACATGTATGTATAAGTTATTGTTAGAGGGCCTCCTTGCAGTGTACAAAGTTAACTCAGCCAATTATATGTGTCAATATCTCAATTTATTTTATTATCCTTCTATTCTTTATTTTCTAGGCATACTCAAAGAAATGAGGGATAATATGTCCAAATAGCGAGGTACATTAGCCCTTGTGTGGGCCAACCTCATTCAATTTTGAGGGCTGAAATCACGATTGATGCATTAAATTGTTCTGTAGAAACTAAAAAACTTTCAACTGCCATCAAAAGTAATTAATTTCCTCGTGTTGCTTTCACATTAAGATGCGTAAGTAAAAGTATTTTTAAATATCATCTTTTTGGCTACAATGAATCTCTGGACTCGTGTATAGCCTGCTGTACTGTCATGAACTGTAGTACAATAGCGACAGTTGCACGCAGTGGTACAGCATTGCAGTACAGTACACAACTTACAGCATCGTTAACATATTGCAGCGAAAGAATAGCACATGGAAGGAACAAGTTGCAGCTTATTATGACACAGCCTCAGCACCGCAATCAACATTATCTCAAGCGGTCCCAGGCAGAACTGCCGTTGCAGTTCCGAAGTGGTACATATGCGTACCACGAAATGTATTTCTCCAGGACGTAGTGGTACATAATTCAGATTGGTTAAAATCGGCCAAATCCGAGAACAAAAAAGGCCAAAAAATGCCGATAACTCAAAACATACTAGTTTATTTGTAGGTTCCACTATAAAAATTCCAGTCATTTTCTTTTTACAGTATTTAAAATTCAATTAGGGAGTACCCCTATCATAAATTTTAGCCGGCGAACGCAATTGACAAGAACTAAATCACGGAATTTGTCCGGAAAAAATGACCCTGTGGAAACCCTGTTTGAAAACAGTACAAAAATGTAATAATAGTACTAGATGAAGCAAACGTAGTCAACAACGTGTTAAGAATTGAAGAGGCGATAATCAGTGAGGCCACTGAGAGGCCTCCTAGGCAGGCCTGTGAGGCCTTCGAGGCAGGCTTGCGAGGCATCTGAGGCAGGTATAAGTATGAGGCCTCCTAAATAGGCCTGTGGTGCTCAGCTTCACTCTGTTGCTGCGTCATCTGCAGCACGTAATCTTATCTTGAACGCGGCGCTGAAAGAATACTTGCGTTGCCAACGCGTTACGCACAATAATTGAGATAGAGCTGAGTACGACAGTCAAATAGGCGGAAATAGATACTATTAATATAATTATATTATTACTTAATTATTATATCTCTGGTGTAACTATTGAATGCCCCAATATTGAGAAATCGGCCGATTATTAGTAAAAACTAAAATAACTGAGCGTTTGCCATCGCAAAAAAGGGACGAAAGAAAGAGAAAATGATGCTTGGAAATGGACGATTTGAAGGATCAAAGATTATAATGAGTATCACGTGCAGGCACAGCGATAAATATAGGCGGGGCAAGCAAAAAGATACAATGTAGGCAAGGCAGGGATACAAAATTATAATAGGCGCATAGATACAATACATGCAGGCGTGGCAGGCGCAGCTGTCTGCTCAGCATGGCACAGGGNAATAGAGGCCGGTGGGCGGTGGACAAGTTCCGGAAAGACGTTCTCATGGACCGCATGCACTTGGCGGAAGAGATGATCCGGGACTCGTGGAGCGCAACCAAGCGAATAAGTGGCAACAAGGCTGCCCATCACAAGCGTTTAATTTTAGGTATTGCTTGAAATTAGCGAGGTTTGGATAGTCGTGAGGTAAAAGCTGACCGCGTTGTATATAAATGATCATCTGTCAACTGCTTGACAGGGACGATGTTACGAGGTAGGATCGAGTTGACAGCTTAGACTATAAATTATCATCTGTCAACCACTTGACAGGAAACAGTTTAGATTTTCCGGTTAACTGTAAGGTGAGCGTAAGAAATGTGATAGGGTTTCAGTTCATATGAATAACCAAAGGAATTATATATTATATTCAGCAAAGTAATTCCAGCACTGTTTTTTTGTGTTCCAGACTCATCAAGGCCTCCTTAAATCGACCGCCACATTGCCGGCGTCCACATTTAATTATGTAGAGGCAGATCTTTTTCAAAACCTCGTATGGAAAGACTACGATCATCAGCACTGAGATCATCAGGATGGATCACTGATAATTTTCAGGTACAATAGATCTCTAGGATGAATTATATGCATCCTTAAGCCAGATCATCGATATCTCACACCTGAAGCAGATTCCAGCTTGCAATGATGGCTGACCCGCGGTGTACTTGCCTGCGAGAACATCATCTTGATCAGGAAAGATTTTATTCGGTTAGTTTAAACTTGCATAAAATGCTTACTGCCAAACGTAAGATGCACCAGCCGACGATCAACAACTGTTGCTACACACTCCATATATCACAGCGGCTAACTGTTAAATCAAATCCATACTGGACCATACATTACACAACTATACCCTTGTCACCTTCCCGTTAAATGAGAAATAAGAGATGTCATACATCTATGATGTGCTTGGTGTGCCGGGGCTCGACATACGCTGTTAATGACCGGTGGGTCGGTGGTTTTAGAGACAAAGAAAAGTTTCCACGAGAGTTTTTGGATTAATTAAAATGCACGAGCTAGGTCGTCATACTCGGCCGTCCAACAGCGTAAGACAGTCGCAAAGCTCCAACGGTGAATACGCATACCGCTTTGAAGACAGCAGTTAAAAGCCAGAATAACTTGAGTAAAAAAAAATCAATATTATGGTATAGCGATACATACAAATAATATTCCGTCAAGAATATAAATTTCATTCGAATTCGACAAATATTTGTGATTTTTGTTCAATTTAGCCAAGAATTTTTTACCTTTAGTAAAAAAGAAAAGGTGGTATGTGTATGTGAAGAAATCAAACCCATTTCTATTTTTCTAATCAATTGTTCAACTACTACAACTATTAATATTTTGAGCCGACCGAAGGAATCATCACAAGTTTAGAAATGGAAGCAGAACTGTAATATGTATATTGTATAAGGAGTATAGCTACTCCGCCCCCAATGTTCAGGAGGCCAGGTTTGCATTATATAGGCCCTAACAATTGTGGGCAGCTTGAACGAAGAGCAGTAATTGATATTAAGGTTATTAGCGGTGTGGAGGGGCTCAAGTTACAAGGCAAGACAAGGCGTGTTTGGGTGGTTAAGAAGCATCAGCAGATTAGCAGGCTTCCTCTATGGGAATTTGATCAGTCCCTGCCTCAGAAATAGAGGCCGGTGGGCGGTGGACAAGTTCCGGAAAGACGTTCTCATGGACCGCATGCACTTGGCGGAAGAGATGATCCGGGACTCGTGGAGCGCAACCAAGCGAATAAGTGGCAACAAGGCTGCCCATCACAAGCGTTTAATTTTAGGTATTGCTTGAAATTAGCGAGGTTTTTGATGGTCGTGAGGTAAAAGCTGACCGCGTTGTACATATATAGATGACCATCTGTCAACCACGTGACAGTGGCGAAGATGTGAGGTGTAGGTTGACAGCGTTGTATACAAGTGAACTTCTTTCAACCACTTGACAGGAAACAGTTTCGATTTCCGGTTAACTGTAAGGTAAGCGTAAAAAATGTGATAGGGTTTCAGTTCATATGAATAACCAAAGGAATTATAAATTATATTCAGCAAAGTAATTCCAGNAAAAGAGTAAAGAACGATTGGAGGAACAGGATTTAAACAGCGGAATTCACGGGGAACGTCAGTGGAAAAAAATCAATGAAAATAAGGTTGGTGAAAGAGAAAAAAGATAAGATTCACGGTGAAAAATATGGTGAAAAAAGAGGTTATTGGATTGAATGACTCGGAAGAAACGGCAGCAGGAAAAAGTTCATTGGTAAAGAGGTTTGTGGCAAAGAAGGAAGAGGAAAACTTGAAAATCAAGTAAAGAATGTGATATGCAGTATCAAATTTATTTCAATGTAGCGAAGAAACTTTATTGCAACGTCAAACGTGGGTGTCACTGCGCCGTGGATAAACTTTTGTTATAGAGTGACTGTACAGAACCTGTCGGCACAGCAGCTCGTGGGTGTCACTGCGCCGTGAATGAACATTTTTTATCGAGTGACTGTACAGAACCTGACGGCACAGCAGCTCGTGGGTGTCATAGATTTTGAATCATATTTTTCATATGTTATGCGTAAGAAAACAGAACGAACATAAATGGAAAAAATTTTGTGTGAAAGCGCTTTGAAATGAAAAATGCACACGAATTAGTCAGAAATGCCTGAAAAATGTCAGTAACGCTGGAGAAATGCAGAAAAAATGTGTCAGGAACGTGCTAAGTCTTGGCAGAAACTGTGAGCCGCAGCAGAATAAAAGGGCAAACACTTGAGACAGCAGGCCTATATAGGCCTCTATTCTTGAGGGTGGGCAGCTTTTGTGGTACATTTAATAGGCCTAGACAGCAGCTCCATTCACGCAATAGCCTTCCATTCAACATGAATGCGGTGCGTGCCCCATACATCAGCGTCGCTTCACTAGAGGAGCGGAGTGTAACTATACATGAGTGACGTTATTTGTTGCAGAGTGATGATGAGTAATGTTATTTGTTGCAGAGTGATGATGTGTGATGTAGAGTGATGATGAGTGATGTTATTTGTTGCAGAGTGGTGCTGAGTGATGTTATTTGTTGCAGAGTGATGATGAGTGATGTAGAGTGATGATGAGTGATGTTATTTATTGCAGAGTGATGATGAGTAATGTTATTTGTTGCAGAGTGATGATGTGTGATGTAGAGTGATGATGAGTGATGTTATTTGTTGCAGAGTGATGATGAGTGATGTTATTTGTTGCAGAGTGATGATGAGTGATGTAGAGTGATGATGAGTGATGTTATTTGTTGCAGAGTGATGATGAGTAATGTTATTTGTTGCAGAGTGATGATGTGTGATGTAGAGTGATGATGAGTGATGTTATTTGTTGCAGAGTGNGTCCGTCAAATGGACGAGTTTGCAACTTGATCTCTGACAGATCTTTGTCCCATAATCTGTCTGGCGGAGTTATATGGGCGGCTCAAGCGATCCAGTGTCAACTGACATTTTCTATTTACTGTCAGCTTCTCTGCAGTTAAAACAGTTTTGAAACTTACATGAGTATTGTATTTGACTACGGTGAGTATTATTAAGTACGTGTTGTTAACAATAACATGAGTATTGTTAACTACGTTCCAGCAACAAAAAGTCTATGTTCGCCAATTTTACCATGTTAGACTCAGCGTGTCTTTGTCGGAATCTTTGGAGAAACTCTGTAAAATACTGCAAAATTCTGGAAGGATTTAACAGAAAACCCGAACTGGAACACAATAAGTTAATCACCGCGTTGTCTATGTTTAATATAACTTTAAGCAATCTAAATAGGTCTAATATCTTTACATTGATATAAAATAGTAAACAATATCCTATAAAATGAACAAAATCCTCACTGACGGTTGAACTCTCTTGCCCACCAGGTTCCCCGGGATCGGGGATGTGTCTCAGCCCCAACTCCCACATTGAAGTGGTGCGCTCCCGCTCCCCCTCACCCACTCCACGCTCCCCATCACCCCCAGCATCCCCAGGCTTGCAGACCCAATCCAGGGATGACTGCGCCTCCCCTAGCGACGCAACCAACAACCAAGGTTAGCCTAAATACAACCACGTTAGCACCACCACAGCAAAACCCCAGTGAGCCCCACCACACCCACATAATTAAGGTTCTTCTCTTAGCCCCAGTGATCCCCACCACACCCATGTACATAATTAAGCTTCTTCTCTAAGCCCCAGTGAGCCCCACCACACCCACGTAATTAAGCTTCTTCTCTAAGCCCCAGTGAGCCCCACCACACCCCACTAATCGTGATAATATCAGGCACAAACCTTGACATTAGTATCAGTATACCAGCACGACTATAGCAAAACATCTACAACATAAACACTAAAATAACACACTATCTGATATGAAGCCGCCTCAAATATGTTTCTTGCTATTTCAGACACGTTACTTAATCCGCGTTTGGTAAGGTAATTTAGCAACGTATCAACCGAAGTATGAACGGAAGTTTTTAGTTGTGGCGACACGGATATGTGCTTGCGCGTGTGTGCAGGCCGAGACTGTGGCAAAAACCATAAGAACAACATGTACGACAACTACACGAATAAACGCTTAATCGGTGGATAACACTCTTACACGTATAAAAACGCACGCACATACCCAAAACTCGCTTATTTGTATAATACACGTCAAATAACTCACACGTCAAATAACACGCTTATATGTCAATAGTACGGTTACACATAAAATGACTCGCACGTCAAATAACACACTTACACGTCAATAACTCACACGTCAAATAATACGATTACATGTTTAATAGTACGCTTACACGTTAAATGACTCACAGGTCAAATAACACGCTTACATGTCAAATAGTGCGTTTAAACGTCAAATAACACGCATCCCCTACATTTGACGTGCGCAGGCGGCGACGAAGGCGACGATGAGCGCAAGAGGCGCAAGAAAAAGACGCGCACGGTGTTCTCACGCTCGCAGGTCTTCCAGCTCGAGAGCACCTTTGATATGAAGCGCTACCTCTCCTCCTCTGAACGAGCTGGCCTAGCTGCCTCCCTACACCTCACAGAGACACAGGTGAGCTATTGCAATATTGGCTACACCTCACAGAGACACAGGTGAGCTATCAACCTCATGCCTCCATTAGGACCATTTATAGCAAGATCTGCACCACATGCCTCTATTTGGAACATGTGAGCTAGTGCAACATTGGCTACACCTCACCGAGACCCAGGTGAGCCATTGCAACACTCGCTACACTACTATTAGTTTCCTTGAGATTTAGCTGCACTGTTTAACAACGAATGTGCGTCTATTGACTGGCTCGAATAACAACTCTGTATGAAGAAATCAAATTTAATGGCAGCAAAATTAAATAGTTCGTTACAGTTTACAAGGTGAGGGTTGGTTACACAA